GTCCACTCATCTTAAAGTGGCCAAGTTTGGACAACACTGCCTTAACAGAATCTTGCAAGTCCAAAAGTACATTTCTCCCCCATCGCCTTTACAGCCCAAAAAACTAGGGAGGGTCCCTTCTGAGACGTTTGCCACTCCCCCATTCCTTTTGCAGGCTCAGCTGCCGTTTATCTGACCGTTCCCCTGGCTGTGGCTCTTCCTCCCGTCTCCCGAGGTCATTCCCACAGACCATTACGCTTCTGTTATCCTCACAGGCTGTGGGTCTCCTATGAGTCTTTCCTAGGGGGGAGAGGAATTTTTCTCGTGCGTTCTTATGTCTTATTTTTCTTTGGGTTGTTCGAAACTTACGCTCAGAAACACCACTGTGGGTAGGTCCCCTCTTTATTTGATCCAAAATTTGCACACCGGCTCCTCCCTAAGTTTAAGATGCACCCACCCAGGGCTGCTTTCTCACATGATACACCTACGAGGAGATGTGGAGCAAGAGCAGTGTGTTCTGCCCCTGTTGAATTCATTTATGAAGGCCGTGATTGAATTGGTGAGCACCGACTGTCGTGCCCCCAAATTAACAGCTCACAAGCTGGGGAATTCTGGGAGTTGAAGTCCCCATATCTTAAAGTTGCTGAGGTTGAGAAAGACTGCTCTAAGCTATATGTTTCTGCTCTTTTCTTTCCCTATCTCCTTTCAAGGTACCAAGAGGAGTTGCCTGGGGTTCTTGCAGGGCGCGAGGAGAAATACTTGACGAAAGAGGAATTGCTGAGACTCATGGAGTGGAAGGTTACAGTAAGTATTTCTCTCAGAGGCAATAAACAGATTGCACCTGTTCAGCAACAGGTGAAATCTCAGCCTTAAAATCCATCTGTAAAATGGGTATATTGAAGATGCGATCGGCATATACGGTGCATTCTTCTTAATAGGTTTGTTAAGCTTCTTCCACTTAGCTTAACCAGTGGAAGACTGGTTGTGTTCTGGCCTCCTGTTTTTCTCCACAACAACCCTTGGAGGTAGGTTGAGCTGAAAAAGGATGGCAGGCCCAGCGTCACCAGGAAGCTTCCATGGCTGAAGGTGGACTAGAACTAGGTTTCCACAATGCCAGTTCTCAGCACCTACACCAGTGTTTCTCAAATGTGGCAACTTTAAAACACGTGGACTTCAATTCCCAGAATTCCTCAGCCAGCCATGATGGCTGGGGAATTCTGGGAGTTGAAGTCCACATGTCTTAAAGTTGCCAAGTTTGAAAAATACCGGTCTACACTGATTCTCAGAGGATCTTACTATACGTACACTTGCTGCTTATCTGTGGGTCCAGGGGAAAGCAAACAAGCATCATGATGTTGATTAAAGTATCTTGGTTTGATTGCCAGAAAATGACTGTTGATTTGCACCAATTGGACAAGTAGTCAATTGCAAATCTGGGATAGCATGAAACTGATATTTTAGAGCAGGTGGATGTAAAGTATCATTTTAAATGTATAATATCTTAAATACATAAATATAGCCATATTTAATTAAACGCAATTGATATTTATTAAGAGGAGTGTGTGATTCAATATAAAATTAAAATAGAAGTTTTTTCTTGTTGCTTAAATCTGGTTTCCCTTCCCCACCAAAAAATATATCTTTTTTTCTTTTCTTTTCTGCTTGTCTCTTTTGTTATTATAAATATATCTATAAATAAATTGTATGCTCTAAATCTTAACTGGGATGAGGATAAAAAAAGGTATAAACTGTGTGTGCTTTGTGCTATGTGCCTTGGAAGAAATCCAGGATGTAATTATTTTTTTTTAACGAGTTGAGCATAGAGATTGATGCTTTAAAGCAGTCTTTCTCAACTCTGGCAACTTGAAGAGGCTGGCTGGGGAATTCTGGGAGTTGAAGTCCATACATCTTAAAGCATGCTGGCTGGGGAATTCTGGGAGTTGAAGTCCACATGTCTTAAAGTTGCCAAGGTTGGGAAACAGTGATTTAAATGAGTCGTATTTATATTGGAACAGTTTTACAACGCAGTAAATTAGAATTAGAATAATGCCACCCTGTTGGCTGGAAGATAAATGCAACATGCACCGGGTTAGGATGGGGGGTATCTAGTTTGGAGAATGTATGCGCGAGACGGGAAACACAATTTTAGGCTGTACCTACAAAACCCAACCCTGGAAGGTAAATATTCCATTCTGGTGCTGTTTTCCTCAATAATTCTGAACCCCAACTAGCTAATCACAGTTTAGTTTAGTGTGTTTGAACCCACAGAGATGGCTTACAGTTCAGCATGTCTAAGATGTGGTTATTTTAGGTTCCTTGGTTCATCACGTGCAAACATGCCACACGAATGCCCCGTTTTTTGGGGGGGTAGGCCCCTGATCAAGCCTTGTGCACAGCTCCGGGCTTCAGGTTTGAAGGAGGATTCAGACAAAATTGATGGAGTTCCAAGAAGAGGAGGCAGAAGGTGAAGCCTAGCCCTGGGAAGAGACGAATGACGGGGAAGTTCTACAGTTGGGAGAATGAACCAAGCGAAATGTCGGAAGCTCACCCTTAAAAGCCCATCGCCGCTTGCTTTGGTCTTTCCAGAGGGGCAAATTTCGGCCCCGCTTGCAGGAGCTGGTGGCCGTGAATTCGAGTGAGATGGTGGAGGAGCATACCAGAAAAGCTTTCCATCGGCTCCCTGACGTAGAGGCTGCCGTGAAGGAGTTGAACCAACTGAAGGGGGTCGGACCCGCAACAGCTTCAGGTAAGAAACTGGCGGGTACAAATCTGGACCTTGGTTTCTCGCCTCGTCTTCCCCCCAGGCCCCCCAAGAGCTCAGGCAGTGAGCAAAGCCATGGCAAGCAGCCATTTTTGGGGAGACTTTATTTGGGGGGATGTTTGGGATTCAGATGCTATATGGATCGTGTGGATTTGCATAGGGCACCCTGGTTTATGTACAGGTGGTCCGTGGGTTAAGAACACCTGGATTGAGGACGACCCATAGTTAAGAACGGAGCCTACTGTAGCAAAATTCGAGTTAAATACACAGTGGTTTGAGTTCGTTACACAATACTATTTATACAGTATTATGCAATAATACTGTTCTGGCTTACGTACAAATCTGACTTAAGGACAGACCTTGGGAATGGAACTCGTTCTTAAACGGGAGGCTGCCTGTCCATATACAGGCCTCAGATGCTTGAAACACAACTGATAATTCCAACCTTGTAAAAATTCTCAGTTGCAGAGCAAAGTGGACTAAAAATGCCAAAAGTTTGGAAGCTGAAACTGAGGAATTCAGCTGGATGTTTCTCAGAACAAGAGTAAGGAACGTTTGATCCACAGGTTGGATGTGGTCCTTGAACCTCATGTTTAGGGACCCTTAAAATTTCCCCAGGATTGCACCCGTGGGATTTAAAGAAGATTAGCTAAAACTTGGCAGGGTGTTTTTGCACTCTTTTGCAGCAGTGAAATAAACCGGCGTCAGATAGAGGAAGAGGTTCTGAAGCGGGGAAAAAAACTTCCTAAAAGTGTTTTTGTTCGAGTAAATACTCTAAACGAGGGTTTTGTAAACGTTTTGCTCTCAGGGTTACTTCCCCCTTTTAAAAATGATGGAGGACCCCAAAAGAGTTTTTGTTGTCTTCATTGACATTTACCACATTAAAAATCAAAATGGATGCATTCATAGAATATTTATTTATTGAATCATGTAAAAATAACAGTATTAAACCTATTAGATATTAACAAAAATAAAATCTTTCTCATCAAAAAAATCTATATTTTTGTTAACAAAAAATAATGAGAAGAGGGACATTGTTTTAAATTTTTGCAAATATCTTCACTCTCTGGCAAATCAT